CACATAGTAATACCAATGAAATTATTCTTGGTGAAGCCCCAAATATCGATCAGGAACACTCATCAATTCAATTTAGCGTACCAATTTCTTTCTACCTTTACTATAACGAAGAATTTCAACCAATCCAAAATGGTTGTTTTTCACATATTAATATCAATGATATTATGCTTGATAACTCTGGTGAAGCCCCAAATGTCGAACAAGAACACTCATCAATTCAATTTAGCGTACCCATTCCTTTATATCCTGGCTATAACTATAACGAAGAATTTCAATCAATCCAAAATGGTTGCTTTTTGCATACTAATACCAATGATATTATACTAGATAACTTTGATGAAGCTCCAAATATCGAACAGGAATACTCATTAACTCAATTTAGCGTACCCATTCCTTTTTATCCTGGCTATAATTATAACGAAGAATTATAATTAATTCAAAATGGATTCTTTTCAAATATTAATACCAATAAGGCCAGACCAATTTAATTCGGTGGTTTACATTACCCCCCTTTTGACCTCCCCCCTCTGCAAAAACATTGTTTTTGACCCACTTGACCCATTTTTATTGACCTGCTCTGAAAAAAAAAAATTTACATTGTTTTTGACCTACGTGATGATCACGATTATGTTAGTCGGGATTTTAAACTGATTGCATGATTAATCCGTAATAAATTATAAAGTATATTAAAGTATATTAAAGTCTATATATGTTATATACATGTATGAGACGAAAATGATGTAATTAATAATGTCATATAAAAGACAAAAGTAATAAAATAATAAAGTAAGTTCCTTGTTTTTAAAAAGAAAAAGATATCGATATACATTCATAAAATGTGGTTATGGAGATCCATAAAGTGTTAGTTGTCAAATCACGACATTAAATAAATACTTTACCGCAGCAAAACGCCTCTAAGTTATATTACACTAAGTTAGACTACATAACGACAGATATCGTTTAACCCAAAAAGATCGTCCAAACCTATATTAATTTTTTACACAAGATGACTTCCCCTTCTTTTCGTATCGGTAATAATGGTGATATTCTATTACCATTTGGACGAGCTGTTGAACAATATCTATATTCTCTTCCTATATCACAAAACATCCGTTACAAGGTTCAAAGCCGAAAAAGGGTTAATGAAGCGGTAAAACAAGGACTCATAGTAATTGAACGTGTTGAAGGCTCCATTGATTATCTAGGTTGGAAAACTAAAAAAGGCCAAAGCAAGTCAACGAATCGTCTTGACGATATTTTACAACTTACTGAAAGTGGAAGGCATCGGGTTCAACAAATACATGCTGGAAATGAAGGCGATATTCATGTTTGGCGATGGGTTTGGTTTTGTTCTGGCGAAGGCAACTGCCAGAGAACTTGTGATAGAATTGGTGAATGTATTGAATCGTGTAACTATTATTCAGATCAACATAACCTCAAGAATCCTTTTGATATGCACAAATGCAGTGTTTGAATTCTTACAGAGGTTATGCTCTCAGAAGTTGAAACAGAATTTTCTATGCATATGACCATTAAAGGAAACCATGTTCCACAAAATATAATTAAAGAAGCAACTGCGCTATCTCGAATTAATTTAAGTTGAGAAGCACGTGATCTTGCAATTACAAGTCATCGAGCAGATAAGCGTACAACGAAAGAAATAAAAATGAAACTCCTTGCATCACATAATGGCGCCTCACAATATGAACTTGAACATTTATATAACAACCAAAATTCTATATATAACAACATAAAGCTTCGTCAACTTATTGAAAGAGATAACTTATGTGCAAGAAAAACTGTAGGCCCATGGTCAATTATACATGAATTGGTAACCAGCGTATTAAGAGAAAAGGGTGCCGTATTATACTACCAATAACCAGATATATCTGTGCCTGAAGACAATTCACAACATTATTATCAGCTTACCTTGAGTGACAACTTATGGCTTCAACAGG